AGTAAGCCAGTGTATTCCACTGACAGGGCTGTTATTATAGTGCAGGTATCTAGAGCCTGCTGACGATAGAAAAAAGGCCTTTTCCTGTCATCAAATACTAATTTTGTATAACAGAAAGTAAGAGGCTCAGAGAGGAAAAGAGGAAAAAAGATACAGAATAGTAAATAGGAAAGGGAAGAGAGGGAGGGTAAAACATGGTGTGAGGTTAAAGGAGGGGGATGTGGAAAAAGATAAGCCTTCAATAAAAACAAGCTGATGGTGTGAAGCTTCTGTGTGTGTGTGTGTGTGTGTGTGTGTGTGTGTGTGTGTGTGTGTGTGTGTGTGTGTGTGTGTGTGTGTCCATTATCCCCACCCCACCCCAGCCCCTAGTAGGCCTACAACGCAGGAATTTGGCTTCCAGTTGCTCTCACACACACAGAAAGAAGAGCAGATGTGAGCCAAACCACTGCATACCAACTTGGATCTGACCCGGCTATCCAGAGGAATCTCCGTCTCATCTCCTGTTCTTCTCAATCTTTAGATTTGATTTCACCTGTAATAAAGCACTGCTGTGTCTGCAGTATAAAACACACCCTCCTCACTTCCTCTGTTGGAGTCAGGTCATGAACTTGTTAGCTGAGGTGGGACCAAGTCATAGTTTTGCCCTCAAGTCCCAAAATTACCAAGTCCTTAACTTAAGATTTCAAGTCCTAGCCAAGTGATGGAGTCTACTTCCTTCTGCAATTTCTACTCCTTCTACGTTTCTCAGTAATGTACGTTTAGTTTTTCAAGTGTCGACTTGCTAGAAGTTAGTAAAGCAATGTTTTTTGGTACTGGCAATGAATTGATTTGTGGCACACTTATTAAATAACAACCTTTTATATATTTTGGCCTGGGGAGGTATCAAGTACTTTCAGGTCTAAATGCTCAATTCCATGTGAAGCAGAAGCTATTGCTGTTAGAGTAAGAGTTGAGTTGCAGGTCATATTTGGGTTTGTCAAGTTGAGACTTAAGTCATCAGATTTGTCATCCAGTCTGACTCAAGTCAACACTCTGCTATGTGATAATGACATTGTTACTTCCCTTTAAAAGCTAAGAGACAAATGTGATTGTTTATCCAGCTCTTCTTCTGGAAACCAAATCACACTGTATGCTAATAGACTGTTATCTGATAAACAAAACAACATCACAGAGAGTGGACCAGTCTATTTAAGTGTGTGTGTGTGTGTGTGTGTGTGTGTGTGTGTGTGTGTGTGTGTGTGTGTGTGTGTGTGTGTGTGTGTGTGTGTGTCCAACCTTGAAGCTGATGAGCTCTTGCTTGGTGAATCCATTACTGTGGATGATCTTCATCTGTTTCACCAAAGTGCTTTTACCGCTTTCTGCTGCCCCTGGAGGAGGTTGAAAATAATGGGTCAACTGGGTTTACTTTCTTTTTTTAATAGAGATAAATCCAAATAAATTTGCATTTACTACCATTTATCTTTTTGTAATCAAATGTGGTCAGTTTTAAACATGGAATCTGTATTGGTTTAAATAGAAAAGTGGCTCCTGAGGAACCATAATTAATCTTTAGTATTATCACTTTTTTTAATCATGCCAATCACTGAAAAAATATCCCGTGATGGATTCCAAATGCAGGTTTTAGCCCTTCACCTTATGTCTCAGGTGAGTTCTTATGATCAGGATGTGCAGCCTCACCTAGTAGCAGGATTTTAACCACATTCATCTCCCGCTTGGCGCCCTCGTACAGCTCTCTGTCTATCTTGGCACTGAGTATCCTCGCCTTCTTCTGCTCCTCTGTGACTTCGGTACCGAGGCACAGTCCCATCCTGAGAAACTCATCTCCTCCCCCGGCCTGAGAGGAAAAACAAAAGCAGGGAATCCAGAACCGAGCTACCGGAGTGTGTTTCTAAAGGCTGCATGCTCCGAGTAAACTGCAGGGTGACTGTTAACTCTGGGAAGGAAGAAAAGTTCAGGCCATCTCCGAAACATCCTCAAAACTCGAAGCTAGAGTTGGGGCTCAAACCGTCCGGACGAAAGTGATTTTAAGCATCGCTCCAAGTTCCGTGCCAGTGGCAGAATGTTCTGGGTGGGAGGTTTTTCAGTCCCGAGCCGTGAAAACACCGCTGTGTCATGTCAATGCACTTCAAATCTGCCCTACCGCCTTGGCAGACACCCCAGTTTCTCTTCAGAGAGCCTCCTCCTCCCGCACCGCCGCACAGATGGAAAACTTTTCGGACTTCCTTGGGAAGTGACGTGCCGGGACAAAACTGCTGAGTGGGCAACTTCACCTGTGCATGAGGAGAAAACTATCTGACTAAAAGTATGGAAAGTAACTGAAAACATTCAACAAATAACATTGTTCGTAGTTAAAAGTGACTTTCTTTCACACACATAACATATTCTCAATGTATACATTATCATACAGTATGACCTACGTGTTGTCAATCATGATGGCCGATTACACCTGCTCAGGAGTTATGGCTAGAAAGGATCCGTGTAGTGTAAATATGACGTCACGTTCTCATTGTAACTCTCGTTGTAATCGGAGCGGCTCGGAAACACATCTACAGAAGTAACATGATGCAACATACACATTAATGCAGCAGCAATATTAATAGAGAAACATCAGACATAATAGTAAACGTAACTGAAAGGCTGCCTGCCAAACGTAAACATTCAGCCACGTGACATTCATCCAAACTCTCGCGAGAGTTTTACACAAGACGGATCCTTTCTAGCCATAACCCTGCTCAGGTTACAGGTGTGCATCAATCAGACAACTAGACACAGGGGCGCCGTAAGGGGGTGAAAAGTTAGGACGATTCTAAGGGCCCGTGACTGACAGGGGCCCAAAAATGTTTAAGTAACCTTTCATCAATCATCAATAATTAACATTAATATAACGTTAAATTGATAATGTACTCACTAAACTTACGATTCATTTCACTTTTTTTCTTCCAAAAGTTAATTATCCAAAGCCTCTGTACACCCCCCTCTATTTACATGTAATGGTTTGGTCCTGCCTCCAAACACTGTGCGGCACCCGGCACCACACTTTCTGGCAGAGAGTGAGTGCAGGTGAGCAACGATGCTGGTACTCAAGTTATGTGTGTACGATGTCTCAACGACTAACAAAGTCAGGCTTTCAAAAAAGAAAAGAAAGGAGAGAAAGACAAGAGAGAGGGACTAAAGGGCGACAGTATGTCACCCAGTTTTTCAAAAGAAAAGGTGCATGTGGTCCATGAGTGGTGGAAATTAGTCTGTTAGCTAAGCTTAGTCCATTGTAAATAATAATTGTAATGTTTTGCTCACATTAAGTACTGTTAATATCTTCACAGAAAATGCTGAGGTTTTTCATTTCACTCCTCTTTTAGCTGGCATTTAATAAATGCAGTTACATTTTTAGCAGCTATTCATACTAAATCAGTTGTCCCTCCCCTGGTGCCAGCCAGGACCAACGGGTCCATCTTTAGGCTCAGCAGCCCTGTCCCCCCATAATGCTTTGCAGTCTTGCCATGATGTCCATTGAAAGCCAGTTGGCTAGAAAGCTGGACTTCAAGGACTTGATCAGTGACTTTGCCTGTAAGAAGGCTAGGCGCTGGGCTCTTGGTGAGTAAGGCTGAGCCAGGGCTCGTAATAACTGTTAAAGGGCAAGGCTATGGTAACGATATTGGATCACTACACAGAAGATGCATGATGAGAAAAAGACTGAGAACAGGTAACAGGCTCTGATTTAGCACCACCATCAGGCCTTTTGAATTCCATTTCCGTCTTGTTGTCCGTTTACACTTTAATACCCGCTTATTTTGTAGTTGGTATGTATATTTAATAAAAAAATCTGCTGCTTATGTTATTTTTTTTGTTATAGCATTTTATAAATGATAATATTGGTGTTAATGTTCACTTTATTTTAATTTAAGAGGTCATGTATATTTAAGTTATATTTATTTTGATTTATGAATGTTCCATTCAAAAATGTTATTAAAAAGGCATGTACACCATAATAGATGACTATTGAGGTCTATTGTCAGGAATGTTAGTGTTATATCAAATAGTGAATTCTACTGCAGCAAAATGTTCCATGTCTGCACAGTGTTATATTTTCACCGCTCAGTGTCAGTAAATATTGTGCGGTTAGTATTGGACTACAAGATAGATGCAAGCCTGTATAGGTAGACTTATTTAAAGCATAAATGAGTGGGTTGGGTTCTGGAGGTGTGGTTACAGCAATTTTGCTTGGTTGGCGTGGCCTGGGCCTGGTGGTGGGGCCCAATGTGATATCTTTTCATGGGGCCCAAAATCCCTGGTGGTGCCCCTGGATGTCCTGAGAAGATGTTATATGAAACAAAAATTACCTGTGGTGGAAATGAGTTGTTGGTTATTCAACAAAAAAGGGGTGTTGTGTATTTTTTCTATGATTTTAGAGGTGTGGACAAAAGGTCAGGAGAAAAAAAAACATGAATTTGAGAAAAGTTAAAACAATTAAACCACATTTCTGGTAAGAAACTATTTCCTTATTATCCTTTGTATCTGTTTTGGGAATACTTCCTCTCTTCTAGAGCCACTGCACTTACAACAATACATTTATAATTTGTAATTACATGTTTTTCTTTCTGAAGTCTGACAGCTAAATGACCATTGGGTCTTCTTGGTGTAAAATAAATACTTTTAATTGCTACTCCATTAACTGCAATAGGCCTCAATACAAAAGCAGCTTTGACCAAATGAGATAGTGAGATCTGGATGTCTCTCGGCTGAGGGATAGGATCCATCCTGCTGAAGCTCCTCGGGGGCGCTGCTCAGGCCGGGGGATTAAAGGCCCTTTGTGTTTGTAATGAGGTGACGGGTTTGCAGTTTTTGTTCAAGTCTGAGAGCAGTGTGATTGGGACGGGACAGGAGGATTTAGCCGCTTTTGAACGGCTGTGTCCTCATTTCACAGAGTCAGTGATCTGTGACGATGTGCTGATCCAACAAATATCTCTGCTGCACAGCCCTACTGCAGTCAAACACACTTGACAATATTTCCAAATTATTTATTAAAAGGGACATTTACAAGTTGCAATTTAGTGATTGATATTTAGAAACATATTTATAAAACACAAATTGTCTCGCACCTTTAACAATTCACCTCAGAGTAATATGCCCCATAATAACAGGAAAATCAAAAGACTGTAAACTTCTACAGAAGCAGTTTGAAAGTGAGACAAGGTCCAAATGTGAAAGTTGTTGGATTCTCTGGTGAAAGAGGAGAAAACATAATAGATTTGCAGAACATTTTTTTCGAGTTGAGAAGGTCGGAGACAGAGTTTACATTTTTGGTGCAATTCACAGATCTTAAATTAGTTATACCGTTAGGAATGAGGCACGACATTACTGTCAGTTACAGTGCAAACGCTCACTCACGAACTTCACTCCATCGCTCAAACATAAAAACACACACACACACACACACACACACACACACACACACACACACACACACACACACACACACACACACACACACACACTAGCTGGGTGCAAAGTCAGGTAGTTAAATCCACAATTGAAATTAAAAAGACTGCTCCACGGATCATTCGACATTTGAAATAATGTTTTTTCAGTATGGACAAAAACATATTGACTTCTAAATATATATTTTTTTACCCAGTGTATACATTTTTTTTTACTTCATTCAATGTAAAAGATGCCACTTCTAAGACCGATCTTTAAAACAAACATGGTTTAAAATCTAAAAACATTTAAGTTATGGCTTATTACAAACCCAACATATCACTTATACACCTTTACAGGAACACAGTGTGTGAATTCATGGACGAAGACAAAACATGACAGAAGAAGACACACATTAAAATGTTCTCTGTGGAGGACGAGAGGTTAAAATAGATTTTGAAGGTTAGTTCGGATTCTTTGATTTGTTGTCGAGGCAGATCTATTTTAATCGCATTAGGCTGGAGAAGTCTGTAATAGAAGAAGGTTGAGAGGAGCTAACTCAGCAGCGTGCACGGCACACTGCCACAACATATATTGAATGCAGGATTCTTCACCCAGTGGCTGTGCTCCCTGGGTCAGTTGAGTCTTAAAGCTGAGTGTACCGCGACGAGTGAACCACACACAGAAGCAGGTCTGAGGTGCCACTAGTGAGCGGGCTGGGCTGCACCTTCACTCTGATCCTGCTCTGTCCTCTTCATCGCCTCGATCACTGCCATCTCCTTGGCCTCCTTCTTCTGGTTCCTGGCTTCAAACTGCAGCCTGACGACACAAGAAAAAGATCCAAAAGACTCATAATCATCTCTACAGCGATAAATCGGACGCAGATAAAGGGGATCAGGAGATGCCAGTTAAGTTCATGAGGAGTCACTGACCTGTTTGCAATTATTCTCTGGACGATGTCATCAGTGGTGAGATTGTTCGCGCTGTCGACTGCCTTGAAGACCCCCCTCTTCTTAGGCTCCTATGGGCACAACACACATAGTGATACAACAAAAAAAAGGCCATGCTCCAGATATTCCCAAACATATCCTGAGTAATGAGGCCTACACTTTAACGTAATAAAAACCTGAATGAAGAAATAACACACCTCATTCTAACCAATTAGGTAGATTCCGCTCATTTTTCAAAATTGATATTCATTCTCGGTTAAGGTTAAGAGTGCTCATAACAGTATCCGAAAACGCTCCTCATGGGGCTGTTTTGAGGACACATGCCTGGTAAGATAGCAGGGTTTCCCACACATAGACTTTACTTGGGCGTTTGTATATTAACGGCCGCCAAAGTATAATCCGCGAGCCATTTAGGTTTAATTTTTTTAATCCCGCCGCGACCATGACGGCATCTGCGATCCCTCGCTCTACCCCAGGGTGTGCTTTATGCGCTCCGCACAGTAACCCTGCTGCGAGGCACGGGCGAACAGTTCATGAGTGTGCTCACTAGCGCACCTCCCCCCCCCCCGGTTCATAAGTACCCCTCAAAAGATCCGGTTTATTTCATTTTAAGGATGCGCACCAAGCAACATCTCCAGGTGCTCCTTTGAGAACCAGGGCAAAAAAGTTATGTGCACCCCTGCTTATATGAGCAAAACATGCCTCAGTGTGAATCAGACTAAGCCAGGACATGTTTTGAGCTTGAAATATTCTTAACGATATACAAATATAAAATATAAATGCAGTACAGTGGCAGGGGGTGCTGCACTTGGATCAGAGACAACAGGAGCCCGTACTCACAGCGTAGGGGTCTGACGTGTCCTTGTCAGGAAACACCTCCGTCTTGCCATGACACACCAGGTCCACCTGCACAGGTACACAAACACACCTGGTTGAACCCCATATCATGTGCAGAGGAAGGAAACTGGAGAGAGAGGAAACTTTACACATGAACTGGTGAATCCTTTTGATATATAGTCACACATTTTCACAAGTAGACTCTTGTGAGGGGCACTTTAGGTACGAACAGTGTACAAGTAGTGTGTCAACGACAGAATGAGCAAATCAGTTACTGCAGGGGGGCCGCCAAATTATTGTTTGATAATATTTTGACAAATATTGTTTTTATGGAAAATGTGAGAACCCTGACCAAGAGGGTATCTGAAAGTTCTTAATGCGTTCAAGATGATGGGTTTTCTTCTCATATTCAATATGTCCACAAGAGGGTGCCACACAGTTAAGTACTGGGCTTTTTCTAATATAAAATCAACACAAATTGTTTTTAAAAGCATAAAGCAAAAATAGTGATCTATTTTTATGCACCACACTGTCCAAGACTTTTGAAAATCTTTAACCTGTTTAAAAAAAAAAAAAAAAGCTTTATGAGCTGTAACTATTTTTTTGATCTCAGTTAGTTTTGAAATTTGAAACGTTTGTGTAAAATATTCAATCTACTGGCTAAGACTCTCTTGATTTATTAAATAAAAAGGTGCTATCCTGGTTAAAAAAGAGCATTAAATAAATAATCAGAAAAAAAAAAAAAATCTTTAAAGGGCATTTTACCCTAAAGTGATCCAGCAGATCTTTGCCCACTGCATAGGGAGCACCAATCACCACCTCCGAGACGTACTGTAGAGAGGAAAGAGACAGATTCAAAACAACAAAGTCATGTTTTCTTTCATTCCACTGCCTAACACCAGTCAGGGCATTTCTGCCTAAAAGTTAAACAGACCAGCGTGTTGTGGATGCGACACAGCTCAAGGGGCAAAGGTGCTTTTACAGTTCACTGCTTCAATTGGGACTGCGTCATCTGGCACTGAGTAGAACTGATGGCAGAGCACGGCAATGTGGCGGTGTTAGGATTGCATTACGTATTTGTTCTGTGCACTGTTCTCTGTTCTCATAAGTTGGTTTAAATTGAACACAAACACACAGAGTGCAGCTGGGAGCACAGAGACGCTTTGTTCCAGGCCGATAGCTGACCAGCAGGAATGGAGGGAGCAGAGCCAAGTCCGGCCTGCTGCACTGTGGGTATTCAGGCTGGAAATACTTCCCGCTGTGATGAACATTAACAGGGCGTTGCATATGTGTGTGTGTTTGTGAACTCACCCGACAGGCCAGGACACTCAGCGTCCTCTCATGGATGTTCATGATTGGATAGTTCTTCCCCTTGTACCGATTCACCTCCTGAAGAGAGGGAAGACAATCTTTCATTAGTTTGATCCGAATGTTTGTAAACTACTGTCCCAGCATGGTGGGATTTATTTTGTGAACGCTTCTCTGAGATATGTGTGTGTACCTGGTCAAAGTGCAGACCCACGATGACGTAGGGCCTCTCTGCCTGCTTATAGACCATCTCTAAGAAGTCAACATGACCAATGTCTGCAAGGAAAGTGTGGTTAAGGAAACAACAACATGCACCATAGATACCATTTCTTCCATTATTGACATTTCTGCAGAATAAGGATACGGAACAGGTCGAATGCCCCGGCCACGTAGATGATGGTGTCTTCGGGCTGAGGCTCCTTTCCTGAGGCAAACTGGATGATCTTCTGGGATGTCTGGAGGAACTGAGACACTCCTGTCCAGGGACTGTGGCCTTTAGGACCCTAAAACAAAAGAGAAGTGTTTGACTGGGGGAATAAACAAACTAGGTAGTTTTTAGAAAAACTGCTGACAGATATCCAGTGTACAAAATATGTGTTTACATGATGAGGTTTGACTCAAATCAACCCATGCTACTCACTTTCCCAAAGTTGTCCGTGTGCTGCTGGTAATCTGGGTTATCCTGCAGAAAACATTAAAGAGGAAGAGATGTGACACCAAAACAAACAAACAAGCCATTGCTCATACACTAAAATGTTAATAAGTAATGAGCATATCTTCAAACACACACTTAAGAAGGTTTATATTTGTGTGTTAAGGGTGTTAGAGAGCAGTGGTTCTCAACTGGTCAGGCCTCGGGACCCACTTTTTCCTTTGTCAATAGATCGCGACCTGACATTTTGAACCACTCTATTCAACAAAAGATCGTGCTGTAATATATACGCTTTTCAGCATACAATATTAATAAAAGTGAAGTACAGTGCATATATCTCTTATATCCCTTCATTTGTGAAGGGATATAAGAGATATATGCACTGTACTTCACTTTTATTAATATTGTATGCTGAAAAGCGTATATATTACAGCACGATCTTTTGTTGAATAGAGTGNAGCATCCAGACGACATTTCAATAAATACGGTTTAATCAGTAAATAAAATACTAAATTCAATAATTCGTATAAATTATGTGCAAACACCCAATGTTAACTGTACTGTGCAGTCACGCTAATAAAGTGCAATATCACCCGGCCCAAAGCCGTCAGTCCATAGTGACGAAGTCGTCACAGTGCTAATAATGCTACAGCGTAAGTTTTGCAAATAAATGCAATTTGTCATTCTTGACACCTTAACTTCCCAAATCCCCCAAAAGGAGAGAAAAAGAGAGGAAAGGGAAACATGTAATCCCAGAGTTTGAGAAAAGAGGGAGAGGAAATAATTTGTTTATCTGTTTGTCTACAAATATTAAAAGGCGCTACTTAGTTTGGCTTTGAGCTAATTGCTAAGTAGCTGGCTAACACGCTTAAAAAAACAATGTGATGCTAATTCTTTCCAGGTATTTTTAACAAAGCTTGTTAGCGCTTTATCATTAGCTAATTAGCATCAAATACAAAGTGCAGTTGAGGCTAATGATAATGCCAATACTTTTGAAGGTATCGGGACAAAAATCAAAAAAGGGATGATAATGATTAACTGCGTCAAGAATTTAAACGATTAAAAATGTATGAGCCAATTAACCAACAACGTGTGTTTCAAATGGAAGTCCAGTACATCGTCATTGTACCACCTGAAGAGTCAGCACCCAACGGTTGCAGTGCATGGCAAAATCGTCATCCTCCCAACAAACTATTGTATCTGTGTTTGCTAGGAGGAGCTGCAGTGATGTGTGTGCAGAGACGATAACTCAGAAGATTAGATTTAAGGTGGAAAAGGAAATGACGCGGATAAATGTTCTGGACGGTGAGGGATTTTGCGAGCTACTGAAACATTGAACCAGGCTATTGCAGTTTACCATGGGGTCTATGGTGATGACCCAAGTTTGGAGAAACAGCAGTTTTCGCCATATCCACATTCGCTTCATATTTCTGCACTGTAGATTTGAATATGTCAAACTTGTGGTGGCACTAGAGGACAATTGAGGGGATCAGAGGTTCATCTTCTAGGAAACATGAATTTCAGTGGAGAATTTAATGGCAACGTATTGGATAGTTCCAAGAAAAAACTTTCAACACTCAACAAACTATCATTAAAAACAAAAGACATGCAACTACAGGACTGATAGATGGATGAGTCATAAAACATATTATGCAACCAGTCTTGTTTTTCATTTTCATTACATTTCCTCCCGTGCAGTTGAGATACCAGCACTGCTGGAGCTAGACACCGTACCATTTCAGCGGTAAACATTAATTCTAGTTTAAAGGGCTGATGTTTGGACACACTTCAGCTGTAATGCAAAAAAGGAGTGCCTTTCCATGTGGGGGTTGTTGGAAAGCACACCTGGACACATGAATAGGGGTTATTTGAGGTTCTTTCCAGGATTTTGAAGTTCATATGAGGGCTTCATTTGTAATGCTTTCTTCCTCGTGTCATTTTCTGTTTTCCGCAGACATGTAGGGTAAAACTTTGTTAAGCTCTGCCTCTGTACTTTGTTCCCAAACATATTCTTTAACAACGCATAATGGGATACTTCTGCTCTTGATGCTTGCCTAGTGTGACATTTAAGAGGTGCTCCTGGGGTCAGCTGAAGGGTAACACAGTTGTGAGTTTAGCACAAAATGAAATCCAATCCTACCTTACCTATCTGCAGCAGAGGTGTACCTCTTTTTTGGGTCAGAGAGAGCCTCACCGCTTTCTAAAACCATTATATTTTGACTTTTCACCATGATTTGTTGCAGAAAGTGGAGCCGGAAACTCACAAGACTGCAGGAAATGGAGGGGAAACACACCAACCGAGTAATTTGTGCCCAAACAACATTACAAATAAAAACCTACGAGTGTGAAAGAGTGTGACTACCACAGCAGTTGGGATAATGATCTGGCACAGAATGTGAGAAGAGATTGGTTGATATGCTGGAGAGAGGATGCAAGCAGGTGTGTTCGAAGAGAGAGAGAGAAGTGCAGATTTGTGGCAGCTGTTTAGGTCAACCAGGGACCCAGGAGCCCACACACTCACACACACATACATACTCAGAGGGGCAAACAGGGACACAAAAGTTACATTAGGAAACATACGGAAACAAAAGCCACTACTTATCAACTACAGTTTAGACTATAGAGAAATCTCAAGTGCCTTTCTTGAACCAAACTGACATGATAAAACTACATGTGTTAGGAAGAGAACGTCCTGAATTTAAAGAACCTTTTAAAACAGTTTACAGCTGACACATCTTAACAGGGTAGATAATTAGTAACTATAATCTTAATTCTCCTGTCTATGATCAAAGTATTTACCAAAAGGACGGCCGATGTGAGTTTTTTAGCGTGGACCTGACAAATCCTTTGTATCTGAATTTGCTGTACTTGAAAGACAAAATTTGAACACATTCACAACGACTTCGGGTTTCAATCTTGTTTGTAATGTAAATGGAATAGAATATTCATTTGATTATGTACTTAATATCAATCTTAACCTTTACATGTATAGCTTTTTTTTCACAAATATGTTCTCATCTTAATACATTCGTCTGGTGGTCAAATGTCTGGATTTCAAATTATTATTAAATGAATTGCAGTTTTCTTTTTTAACATTTAAAGAGATAGCTTGGCTCACTTGGAACTGAATTATGTCTCCTCAGGGTGAGAGGAGTATTTTTGTATTTTATATTTAAACTCACACTTGTCTTAACTGATTTATGTCAAAAGTATCTAAAAGTGGACCATAAAGGTAATCTGCAGTGCAGACTCCAAGTGACCCTCCCCCAAAAAAATTGGTTTGTTGGGACTGATCAAAGGTAAGGATCTAGAAACACTTTGTTGCAGTTACCTTAAACTACTGTAAAATCCTGATCAAGGAAGATACAACAAACAAACAAACAAACAAACTGTATTGATGGCAAACAGGGAAATTAACAACTGATTCAGTATAAATCACTTCAAAATTTATAAATAGATTACCAAACAACCCTTTTTATCTGTTTGTTGACTGGCTCCAATTAGACAAAATTTGAGATCATCTCTAAAATAGGATTTAGCCCAAATTAGACAGAGTGGGATTACAGGGGAGCAGACAAACTAACGTGTATTTGCTTTTGGGTCTGGTTTTATCCCATGTTCCCATTTATGTTCTTCAATGTGTGCAAATTAGCAAATACATCATTGATAATGCTTCATTTTCATAAACAAACCTAACATGTCAGCAACCTCCTGTTTAGAATAATTGTGTGGAATCATAAATCACATACGATGGAGTGGAAAACAAACAACACAACATTCATTGTTTCCCGTGTGCTCGACCTACTTCCAACATATGGGGCTGTATGGTGATCCAGGGATGATGTCCATGTGTAATCAGAAATCCTGACATGCTACTGGATTGATTTCAGTCACATTCCTGCATCCAAAGTCCAGCTGGACATTAATTCACCACCGATGTTCTAGAGGCAGTCAGATGTGAGTCTGGAAGCGCTGGGTCAAGTGGGTGTTCCCTGCTCACGTGTAAGGGATTTTGATGGTGTGTGTGTGTGTGTGTGTGTGTGTGTGTGTGTGTGTGTGTGTGTGTGTGTGTGTGTGTGTGTGTACGTCGTACGTAGTACGTGCTGTCGTATTAGTACGTTTAGTATAGATTAAGCTCGGGACATTAGGGTTACGGTACCTCACAGAAGCGCCCTCGATGAGCTTGCGGTGGATGCGAGCTATATGGAGCAGGCTGGAGAAGGGAGCGAGCAGCAGAAAAAACAACCACGCTTTTCTAAGCTTTAACGCAGAGAATTCAGTGACCCGTGGAAATCTCGTGTATTTTTTAGATTTAGCATTCAATTTGTATCACACCATAAGAAAAAAACATGCGCCGACGTATTACAGCCAGCGCATTTGGCTTGCCTTAGCGAATAATTGCAACCAAGTGTACACACAGTTTTACGGTAAAATGAAAAAAGACCATAAAGTGCGATGGTTTTGCCCAAAAGGATTGGGAAAGATTGATGAAAAGATAAGATTGGTACACTGAATTTTAAAATATAAACCAACACTCAACAGCTCTTAATCTTAATCATCAGCGTTGAAATCGAAAAGCTACACATTTATTGTGCACCACTAAAGGCCTATTCCTCTAAAGTTATTTTGATTTGCGCCACAAGAAAAGCTGTATAAACTAAATATATATGACAGATGAGCGCTCAAAAGGCCACATGCTTATACACAAACTTTCTCTACGCAAAAAACAAAAAAAGCGAAAAAAAAAGCCTGACATGGATTTGAAAAAACAAAACAAGATGAGCAGGCAAAAGCTCAGCCAAACGCCGAGTAAGACAATCTAAAAAAATAAAATACATTTGTCAAATGAATTTCAGTATTGTTGCTTTGACATGTTTTCAACTGCCAAGCGTCAGTCCATCACGCCTGACAGGTGTGGCAAGAAAACAATCAGCACATTTTTAGAGCAGCCTTTTATTTGTGAAACAGGGCCCAACACACACCTGCTGTTAATCAGGGCTGTTTAATCAGCATCTCGATAAGACACACCTGGCACCTGGTGGCATGATGTTGGCAAACGGAAAAAAATGTGACTACAAACAACTACAACTTTGGGGGCTTGAAGGAAAGAGAGCATAGGCCATATTTCTGTGCACAAGAAAAACAGTCTTAGAATTTTTATTTTTAAATTGTGAAAATGGGAGCAAAAAAGAAAGAAATGCTTGTCTTGGACAAAATGTGATGGTGTACTGGGTAGGTGATAGATAGATTAATAAATAGATAGATAAGATAATAGATAGATAGATAGATGATATGCTGCCCGCCCCTGCCCTTTTAGCATTACTAAAATCTATCAACTCTTGCAAAGATACAAAAGTTATACCCAAACAGGCAAACACCAATACAACCCTTTATATGGTTTGTAAAACCTAAACGCTTGTTTATACTAACTTAATTTACGGGGCGTGTTTATGTATGAAAATGTTAAAAAAAAAAAAACTTTGCGTTTACTGGCGAAAGAAAATGACGAGCTGTGACTTTAGTGTGCTCACAGACATGCAGTGACGCTGAGTAAAAGCTTCAAACGTTTCCCTCTACATTTATTGATTATTCACTCCTTCAGAAGTAGCATAAGCATCTAAATATTCATGTGTCAAATACAAGGTACTGAGTAAATTTACTTGTTACGTTACAGAAATTGTCAAAAGCGCTTTACAACAAGTAGGCTTATATTTGCCAATGGACTGAAAAATATTATACAAGCCTAACAGTTACCGTGGTTTGATTACTTTTCAGGGCGCTACTCTCTTATCTCGTCGGTGCCTCTCTATACCTTCTTTGTACGTCAAAGTTTTGTGGATCTTACCTATTGATACATACACGTGCAATGTCCTCAAATCAACGGTAGTTAGCTTACTTATTTAGGTTCCAGGATGGCTTAAGTTAACTGCCGGCGTGTTGCCAGTAAGAGTTAGGCTACAATATGTGGTTCTACATTCACTCCGCCATTCTTTTTGTTTTGTTGAACTTTAGCCACAGTATGGTATTCTCACGCCAGCCACATCATGGGCGCGTAACCTTAAGCATGCTAGCCAACAAGCCTTAAGCTAGACTCTGGTTATGCTAA